ATTGCTCTGCCTAAAACTTCGAGGACTATATTGAAGAAAAGTAGCGAGAGTGAATCCCGTCTTGTTCCTGATTTTAGAGGAAATACTTTGTTTTCTTCCCCATTCAGTATGGGGATATGGGTTTGTTATATCTACACACCTTTAATCATATTGAGGTAAGGTCCTTCTATATCTCCGGAAACTTATTAGTGAGGTTGAGTATTTTTTCTTGCTTGCTATTTGGCTTTTCTTATTTACAAACTGACTACCCATATTTTTTCTCAGTCCATTTTTCTATTGGGTTGTTTTTTGCTACTGATAGGGTAGATGTTTTTTATATATTCTGAGTACTGACCCAATGTAGGTTATTTATATCTTATACATTTTCTATCTGCAGACTGTATTTTTATTTTGTTTATACTATGTTGTTTTACTGAAGTTTAAGATTTTCTTCTGGGCTTGGTGTTGCATGTCTGTAATTCCAGCACTCAGAAAGCTGAGGTAGCATTGCCACAGGTTTGAGGCCATCCTGGGCTACAAAGTGAGTTCAAGGACAGCCTGAACTACACAAAGAGACTCTGTCTCAAAAAACAAAACAATATGAAACAAAACAAAATTTTAATGTGGCCAAGTTACCATAATTTAAAGTACAGTGGTACCTCAGTTCACAAAAGATGGCCATAATTGTGTTTATGTGGGAAAAATAGTGGCAGTCATGCCTGTCACCTGGTACAGTTTGCAAACAATATTGTTCATAAACAAAAGGGTTCATGAACTAAGCTACCACTGTATAGAGTGTATATTTTGTTGAGAAGCCATTTCTTATCCAATATAATATTCTCAAAATTTAAATTTGTGCTTTTCCCAATTTATACCTTTAATCCATCTCAAACAGATTTTTGTAAGTGGGCTAAGTTGTTCTGATTATCTACTGTTGCATAACAAACTGCTCAAAACCTAGTAGTTGACTATAATACTGAATTATTTTTTACAATTTTGAGGGCTAATTGGTGAAGAAAAAATTTTTAGTTTTACTGCTTTTCTCTATTGTTTTTCTATTTTCAATTTCATTTATTTCTAATCTTTCTTTTCTTTCTCTTTTTCTCTTTTTTTTGGAGACAGGGTCTCACTATGTAGTTGAGACTGACCTGGATCTCACTATGTAGTACCTCAGGCTGGTCTCAAACTCACAGTGATCCTCCTGCCTCAGCCTCCCAAGTGCTGGGATTACAAGCATGTGCTACCACAACCGGCTCTACTCTAATCTTTCTTTGTTTTATTTAGATATAGTTTTCTATTCTTTTTCAAGTGCCTCAGGATGAAAAGTTGGTGTATTGATTTGAGATATTATTTATTTCTTAGCATAAGATTTGTACCTATCCATTTCCATTTAAGTACTGCGTAGTTCCATCCCATCTGTTTTGGTATGTCTGCATTTTCACGGATTTCAAAGTATTTTCTAATTTCTCCCTTGATGCAATGGTTTAATTACTGTTTAATTTCAACATACTTGTGAATTTTCAAGTTTTTCCAGCTCTAGATACCTAATTTCATTCTATGGTGGTTGGGGGATGTACTCTGCATTACTTCCATTCTTTTAAATTTACTGAAGTTTGTTTTATGGTCTAGCACATGGGCTATCCTGAAGAATGTTCCAGTTGTGCTTGAAAAGAATGTATATTCTGTTGTCATTGGATGCAATGTTCTAAACATGTCTGTTGGGTCTAGGTGACTTATAGCATTGCTCAAATGTTTTACTTCTTTTTTTTAATCTTCTGCTTAGTTGTCCCATCCATTATTCAAAGTGGATATACTAATGTATTCAACTGTTATCTTTATTATTATTATTGTTATTATTTTTTTGTTATCCTAGAGATTTAAACTACAGTCATTTTAGGCAAATGCTATTTAGACCACTGAGCTCTAGGCTTAGCCACTTCAACTCTTATTTTTGAATTGTTTACAATTCAGTTTTTGCTGCATATATTATGATACTATCATTAGGTACACATAAATTAACAACTATATTTTCTGGATGGTTTGATCCTTTTATCATGATAAAATGTCCCTCTTTATCTCTAGTAACATTTTATTTTATTTTATTAATTTATTTTTAAAGTAGGAAGATATTTATTGATAGGAAAGCTCCTGATGGGCAGGAGGGGTCCCTAGTGGGTAGCCCTGTAGTAACATTTTAAAATCCTTTTCTCTAATATTAAAGTCATAGCACTTTTTTTGTGGTTTCTGTTTGCATGATATATATTTTTCTATCCTTTTACTTTCAACCTATCTTGGAATCTAAAGGGCTTATCTCTTGTAGACAATGTAAAATTGGATAATGACACTCTGCTTTTTAACTGGATTGTCAATATAGCAGAATTTACATCTGCTATTTGTTCTTTTGTCTTGTATACATATCATATCTTATTAGTTCCTCTATTCTTTTTTTACTGCTTTGTTTTTACATTAAATGAAAGTAGCAGTCTATATTTTTAATGTCACATTTGAATTTCTTTACTGGTTTAAGATTTTACAGTTTTTTTCTTTTGTAGTCATTCTAGGATTTACCATTCTGTTCTTATCAGAATCAGCTTGATTTGAACTAGCTTTATCCCAGGGATATATAGAAACAGTTCCTATGCAGCTCTCTTCCAGTGGCAGTACTGTTATATCTATTAATGCTACAAATCTACACCTTTCTAGTTTATTAAGGTTTTTTTTTATCATAAAACATAAAATCAGCTGAATGTATATACCAGCTGTCAGACACTGTTCTAAGCACTTTACTGGTATTAACTTATTATGTTCTCATAACAAATCTTTGAGATTACTATCTTTATTTCATCAGGAGTAAGCTGAAATACAGTGAATTAATAGTGTGAAATAGGAAGAAAAGGGCTAAAGGTATAGGGAAAGTGGGAAGGTAGGGGAAAGGGAACAAGGGAAAAGAAAAAAGTATGAGAAAACAAAAAAATGGAAATAAAATGTTTGTAAATGGGGAGGTGGGGGTGTAGGGAGGGCAGGGACAAGGGGAAAAAATGAGAACCAAGATCTGTCATGTGAAGGTACAGGATCCCAGTAATGAATGTAACTGTATTGTATACCTAGATTGTACCAATAAACTCAATAAAAAGAAAAAAAAATTAAAAAAAATCTGTCCAAAATTAGTAGTAGAATGGAATTTGAACACAGAAGTTTAGCTTAAAAGCACAAAGCCTTAACTACTTTCAAGTTATGTCCACATTTGACCTTACTGTATGGTGTTTCAAGTAGCTGTGAAAATGTGGAACACTCCATTAATAAATTTAAAAATGCTACATTATCCTTGAATAAACCCAATTTTATTATGACATATCTTTCTTTTTAAAATACATGGATAGATTTCACTTGCTAATATTTTCCATAGAATTTTTGCATTTATATTGACAGTGAGATTGACTCACAAATGCTTTTCTTCCTGCTAGTTGAAGTCCTCAGGTTACACTAGATAAACTCATAAATAAATCAGGGTAGACATTATTAACATTTCAATCTTCATTATCAGGCCATTATTATTATGGGTAGTATGACAGCTAGTCCAATAGTTTAGACTCTTAGACAACCCAGTGAGCTACCTGATATCTAAATAAATGCTAACCCAGCAGACAAAGATGTCCAAGAGCACTAGTTACTAAGTAGCAGTCTGGAGTTGCCAAAAATAACAAAATGGACTAATGTTCTCTTTCCCAAAATGTCTGAAGGTGATTCATCCTTAATCTCTTTGATGTATTGATAACTGCCTTTAACTCAACCATATTCACAAACAATCTTTGAATAAAGTTATACACTTCATACTTTATGAAATAGATTATTATCTTTTATTTCACTAATAATTTCTAATAGTTCTCTAAGAGCCATACTATTATTTTTATCTCATGGATTATTTTTACTCTATTTTACAGATAACTCATGTAAAGATTAATTAACTGCACTGATCAGTTAGTAGCAGAAGTGAGTTAAAATTCAAATTTGTTTTTCTTTATTTCAATTATAGCTATCTCCCCTTATCTGGGGAATACATTCTAAGACCTCTAGTGGATTCTTGAAATCTCAGATAATATCAAACTCTATATACAACTATCTTATATATATATATGCCACACATACACACACATACATACACACTTATGATGGAGTTTAGGCACAGTAGATTAACAGTAATTAATAATAAATAGAATAATTATAACAATACACTAAATAAAATACAATAAAAGTTGCATGAATGTGATCTGTCTCTCAAAAGCTATTTTATTGTGTTGTGTTCATTCTTCTCATAATGTAAGACTATATAATGCCTACATGATGAGATGACGTGAGAAGAATGATACAGGCATTGTGACAGAGTGTTTGGATACTACAAAAAGGTCACTTGAGCACAAGCACAGTGATCAGTTGCTGATAACTGAGATGGCTAAGAAGTGACTAACACTGTATATAGCATGAGCAAATGGGACAAAGAGGTGAATCATATCTTGGTTTGATGTAGCAGCACAGCATGAGATTTTATCATACTATTCAGAGGAGCTTGCAATTTAAAATTGATTCATTATTTATTTATAGAAATTTCAGAATATTTAATATTTTTGGACCACAGTAGACTGTGGCAACTAAAACTGAAGAAAGCAAAATTGCACATAGGGGGGGCCTACTGTACATCAAGAAAGTATTTCTTATTGAGAAATGCTAATTTCTCAGTGACAGTGATTAGCATCTTTGATGCTAGTGACAATACTAAGAATGAAATACTGAATTTTTAACAGGAGGCTGGAGAAGCCATCACTTTCCTGATGACAATTAAGAAATACTTAATTTACTATTCATGTGCCTGTAAGAATTTTAATACATCTCCAATTTTATAGGTTAGTAACCAAAAGTTACTATATCTCTGCTAGCTACTAGGTACTTTTGTAAGCACTACATAGGGTTGAATAAAGTTGAGACAAACAGAAAAAATGTTATTTAATAATTTTGAAGCATCTTACCATAGTGAAGTGCTGTTTGACCTTCATTGTCCTATAAAAAACAAATGACATTTTAGAAGTCTAAGTAATAACAAAAGTATGAAAGTATACAAACTAACAAATACTATCTGCTATACCCAAGGTTCCATAAGTTTATCAGATACGGAGGAAAAAAGTGATCATTTCTTTGAGTTTCACAGTAACTACTGAACAAGCTATCTCTCTTGGAAGACAGAGGAGAATGGTGATGTGGCAGCACCTGCCACAGAGTGAGGATAATCAGATGTTTAGGTAATAAACCAAAGGGAATGAGTCCTTAACATGTGGCAGTTTGGTTACCTAGCTAGTATCAGATAAATTGACACTATATCATTTATCTTGGGCAGTATCAGCATGTTTATTTCCAAGCTTGTCCCCAAATCTAAGGAATTTGTGATTTATAGTAAGAGTTAGTAGCTTTTTAATGGCTTTTGAAAGACACACAAATCCCAGGCTAATGATATTAAGAGTTCTTAACTAGATTAAATATCATAAAATGGGTGGCTTCAGAGCATGCAAAATTCTAGAAAAAATCCAAGAATACCCAAAGGTAACTGAGAAGACTTCAACCTTTTAGTAAAAAAAATTCTTTTAAAACCAAGATATTCTGGCTATATTAATTATATGGCACAGATGAGTACTTTTTAGCAATTCTACATCTTTGACTGAAAATAGCTGATCTCAGTACATTAGTAACAATCAGGTAAAGAACAGGTAAAAAGTAGAAATTAATAGTTAATTTGACATGTAATTTCTAATTGCATGGCCTCTATTATGTTCCTAATAAGGAAAAATAAGTGCTAAACTATTATTATGAATACACAAGAGGGTGAAAATATGACCAAACTATTCTTGGGTACTTGATAATTGTCTTTCCCACTTCTTGAAAGCTGAATATGGGGACTGGGATTTCTTCCAGAACTTTTTGGCTAAGGGTCTCTCCCTATCTCCCAGGAAGTAAAGTAAGAAGTTGCCACAGGGAACCTATCTTTTCTAACAGACAGTAAGAAAAAAGCCAATATAGGTAGAAGGAAAAAGGCCATTCCTTAAGGGCCTTTAGCACCTACAAAAGCTTAGCCAGGATGACAGCTGGTAGGGAGAGGGAACAACTTTGAGTTTGTTTTCCTATTGGGGAATGGAGATTCTGACTGGATTTTGAGGCCAGGAATACAGAGACGGGTGACAGGAGACAGGAAAGTTATTTTAAATGTGAAATGGGAAGAAAAGGTCTAAAAGCGTAGGGAAAATGGGAGGGGTAGGGGAAAGGAAAGAAGGGAAAAGAAAAAATAGGAGAAAAGAAAAAGGACCCCCCCTTAATTCTCTGGGTGAATTTATTAATAGTATAGAGGAACACTATTAATTTTTAAAGATATGCTACTGAATTTGGTTATTCTTTTGGTAGAGTTTTGGGGTCTTCTAGGTAGACATCATATTATCTGAAAATGATGATAATTAAATTTCTTCCTTTCCTATCCATAGCCTTTTTATTTCTTTCTTTTGCCTGACTGCTCTGGCAATTGTTTTTTTTTTGTACCCAGGGATCAAACTTGGGTCCTTGCGCTTGCAAGGCAGGTGGCAGAACCACTGAGCTAAATCCCTGTACCTCTGGCTAATGACCTGAGAACTATATTAAACTGGAGTGGTGAATAATGAACAACCTTGTCTTGTTTCTGATTTTAGAGGGAAAGCTTTCAGCTCTCTATTTAATATGATGTTGGCTGTTGGTTCATTATAAACAGCTTGTACAGATTGAGATAAGGACTTTCTATATTTATTTTCTTCCGAGTTTGGTTTTTTTTTTAATTTTATTGAGTTTATTGGTACATTTTAGGGATACAGTACAGTTACATTCACCTTGTCTTGTCTGATTTTAGAGGGAAAGCTTTCAGCTCTCTATTTAATATGATGTTGGCTGTTGGTTCATTATAAACAGCTTGTACAGATTGAGATAAGGACTTTCTATATTTATTTTCTTCCGAGTTTGGTTTTTTTTTTTTTTTTATTGAGTTTATTGGTACATTTTAGGGATACAGTACAGTTACATTCATTGTTGGGATCATGTACCTCTACATGGGA